GAATGTCCAGTCCAATTAATTTCAACTCCTGTAAATGACAGAGAATGGATTTGAGATTTCTATACATGTTGCAGATTGGACTATTGGTCACCTGGGCTTATTGTTCATATTGGATTATTCTTCACTCCCTGCATCTAATAGAATGATAACACGCCCTTGGTTGTATGATGTTGCAGGAGATACCTTTTGGGGCATTGTGTACTTTCCCACCCTACTCTGTCAACTTCCTTTGGTCAATGAATGGGTCAATGAACTCATGTGCGATCAGCTTTCAATGGTTTGCTCTCTTGTGCTTCTTCCATCTGCCTTTAAAAGAACATGCCCAGTCTCAGTCAGCTGCTAGTCTCAGAATGAGGAGACACATAGAGCAGACCTGACTCTGATCCGCAGCCTGAAGCAGAACTGCCCCAGCTGTCCCACAGACCTTTGAGTGAGAAAAACAAATGTTGTAGCCCCCGAGATTTTGAGGTTGTTTCTTAAATAGCATTATTGCAGTAATAACCGTCTCATACAACACATAAGTACCTTGGATAGTTTAGTGATCATTTGGAGAAGTAAGAACTATATGCATAACACTCAAGGTGGGGGGAATTTGAAAACAGAAATGCTTTTCAGATTTTGGGAGGAAAAGGGTAACAGAAATTTATGAAAAAAAAAGTAGGTATTTTTTCCTGTTGGGAATGAGCCTTGCAGAAAATAGTAAAAGACAGAATGAGAAACAAGTAGTGCTCTTGTTGGCAACTGACCATTTCTTCCATCTCAGACAAAACCCTTGCTTGCCAAATGCTTTTAAGCAGAAGCTGGTCATTTTTACTTTATAATTTAGTTTTCCATTTTAAAGGGCTTAAAGGCTGAATGTATTGTTCTTGAGAGAAACAGAATTTATTTTTAGCAAACTTCAGTGTTATTTTTAGTTTAGTTCTTTTTGGCAGCTATAAGCTTATTTATTTATTTATAAAAATTATTTATTTGTTTATTTTAGTTTTATCATTATAGGATGTAAACATTTTGTAAACATGTGGCCCTTTACCAGTTGCTCCCTAACACCCCTTCGCCTCCCCCTTTCTCACCTCTAGTGGCCTCAGTTCTGTTCTCTCCTTTTGAAAGTTCAGGGAATTACTGTGATTGTCATCTCTCTCTTTTTTTCTTTCTTTTTTTGTTTATTTTTTTTNTTTTTTTTCCAGCTCACACTTAGGAGTGAGGACATGTGGTATTTCTCTTTCTGTGCCTGGTATATTTCACTTAACATAATTTTCTCTAAGTTCATCCATGTTGCTGCAAGTAGAAGAATCTCATTTCTGTTTATGTCAGAGTAGTATTCCATGTGTCTGTCTACCACATTTTCCTTATCCAGTCATCCATTGATGGACATTTAGGTTAGTTCTCACTCTTAGCTATTGTAAATAGAACTGTGAAAAACATGGGAGTAAAAGTATTCCTTTGACATGATGATTTCCATTACTTTGGGTATACACCCAGCACTGGGATTGCTGGATCATATGGCAGTTCTATCTGTAGTTGTTTCAGGAACCTGTATACTGTTTTCCATAATGGCTGTGCTAATTTACAGTCCCACCAACAGTGTAGGAGGGTTCCCCTTTCTCCACATACTCACCAGCACTTGTTATTCTCTTTTTGATAATGGCCAATCTAACTGGTGTGAGATGATATGTGCATGTGGTTTTGATTTTCATTTCCCTGATGCTTAGTGATGTAGAGTATTTTTTTATGTGTTTGTTGATCATTTGTATATCTTCCTTTGAGAAATTCCTATTCAGCTCATTTGCCCACATTTTAATCAAGTTACTTGTTTTTTCACTGTTATTTCTTCCTTGTGTATTCTGGATATTAACCTCTTATTGGATACATTGTTTGTGAATATTTTCTCCCATTCTGTAGGTTGTCTTTTTACTCTGTTAACTGTTGCTTTTGCTGTGCAGAAACTTTTTAATTTGATCCCATTTATTTTTCCTTCTGTTGGCTGTGCTTTTGGGGTCATATCCATAAAGTCTATGTTCAGTCCTACTTCCTGAAGTCTTTCC